TACAGAATTTACTTTTGCAGTTTTTCTGCAAAAGTAAATTCTGTCATTTTCGATAGTCTTTCTTGGCTGATATTGTCAATTACAAAAAAAGTTTCGCTGCTGTTAAAAATAAAAAAAGAGAAATATATTGATATATTTCATTATTTCTTGTTATCAAACATGGCAACTAAAACAAGAAGTACAAGCATGGCCACACTGCTGCGCTGATAAAATACACGAAAGAAAATAAAAAATTTGCAAAAAAACACATGATGCATATTTTCATATCGTGATTGGATTAAATACATGCTCACTACCAGCTTGTCGGTGTCCGTGCAGCACGAATCGTGTCACATACAAAAAATAACAATCTGGATAAAGGTGCTGCGAAACTATGATTCATCTAGAAAGGATAAAATGAAAATTAAACATAATCAGTTCCTTCAGTCGTTCTTGTAGAACAGTATTCAAGTTTATTGAATGACATGAATCATCTGTAAAGAAAAATAAAATCTGACGAATCTATGTTTTTTCTTCCTGTTCTTTTTCGTAGAGAAAACGATGTTCTTGTACAAAGTTGGTTCCAGTCACTAGTTTCATATGCGTAGTTAAAGATCGAGAACCGATTGAAGAATGATGTGTGTAGTTGACTGTCAATAGTTGGTTTTTTCCAACTTCGAGGAAGAAAAATTGAGACGAGTTGATCAGCATAATCAAAATGATCTACTTGTCCATTTTCCAATGTCCTCCTTTTTTATTGGTTTTGACAATGGGGCTTCATAATGCATTACATTAATAGTCATGTTTCAGATGAATCTTTTACTTTGTTGTGCATGCATTTAAATTTTAATACTTTCTAAACATGTTTTTAATGACAATTTTTATGTAGAGAAACATGTTGTATGTAACTAATTTTTGACGTTTTAGTTTGTTCGATAGGTTTTTCGCTTCGACAGAGACATAATTTCATCAACATTACAATAAATATTCAGTAAACTACAAGCAGTTTCCAAAAACAATGATAGATAGATTGTTGTGGTTACAAACACTGGTATTGGATATAGGAAAATTGATTTGTAGGAATAATTACAATCAGTTTGCATTATGAAATTGATCATCATTAAAGTAGTTGATAGACTCATGTTCAATACATTTACCATTTCTTTCTGCCATTGACATTAATTCCTTCTAGTTTTTCATTCTATTTGATCATTTGAAAATGGAATAAACTCGAAGATTTTTGCTGCATAAATCGACACGAGTAATCGATTATCTGATTTGTATTGGACTTGTTATCTAATAAAGAGAAGTAGATAATATACATATTACTTGACATAGATGAAAAAAGGGCCTGATCTTTTATTTGAAGACCACGTTTTCGAAGACGTTGAGAGATCTTTGACACTTTGGTATATGTACGCTGTTTTTGGAGAATATTTATCACTTGTGATCCGATTTCACATGTAGCAATGGACTCTTCTTTTCTATCTAGATCAAGATATTTTGAACTAAGAAAAAACTACTTGTTGGTTTATTGGAAGAAATCCTGAAAGGACGATAAGAACCTTCGACATCTTGAATAATACGGATCGCATTTGTATTTAAAATGATTGATTTCAATTTGAACGAGCATGAAATACTGAGAAACAGTGCATATTGTTCAGTCTTAATGAAATTAACAATCCATAGATCAAACAGAGTTTTTACATAAGCAAACAACTTGATGTTGTTAACTTGTAAGAGATCGTCACTCTATTCGGATCGTTGAGGCACATCCAGATGAAGAGATAATGATATTATTTTCTCCCCTGTTAAAGCCATTGTTTAAAATCTCAGTGCATTGGACTGTCTCATTCTCACTCTCATGATCAACACTATAAACATAACTTTATTTAAGAACATGAAATAATATTTCGTTATCATTCAAATAGGTTTTCAAATTTCTTTAAGTGCTCATTATGCTTCGATAAAATATAGTATACAACGTATTTCAGATAAGATTAATGTAAAGCATTTTGATCAATGCGACTCTAGATTCTGAAACACAAATGGAATCGTTCAACTAACTTTCAGTTCATGTATGCCATATCAAAAATTGAAAAAAAATTGTAGGTATATACGAAGATTAATAGAACCACGCTCTTTATTACATCAACTTTAATTAAAAATAACAGTTATTAATCAAAAGAAAATTCATTTCAACTGTTTTTTTTCATTGGCTTGAACTGCTGTATATAATAGTTGTTCAATAACAGGTGTTGAATGTTGTTCTTGATTATATGTTATTTGTTTTATTATATTTGAATTTATCAGTTATGTTGTATTAGTATTATTTTTATTACTTGTTGGTAAATGAAGTCTTTCTAATAATTCAATAGTTATTGGACGACCAAATGTATTTTGAACAATACAACGCATATATGGTAACGCTAACTAGAATAAGAAAACGAAATGTATGAATGATTATTTTATTTGAAATATTTCAATAAAATTGAAAAAAAAATTATAGCATGACATTTGAATAAAATTCGTATACATGTATTTCATATCCAAAATATGGTGACGAGCCCTTAGCAGTACTTTATTATCTCATAATTTCGTGTTGTTGGTAGATATCTCGTGAATTCGATTTTAGACAAACAAAATTTTTAACAAATTCGATCTCAATTAAATTTTTTTGCGCTTCTGAACGCAACAAAATTCAATCTGTATGACTCCAATATATGTGAAATATTCATAAAACATGGCATGAAAAAATATCCCCAGTATTCAAATAGTAAAACTATTTCTGATTTTCATCGTTTTTTTTAAAGTTTAAAAAAAAAATGAAAATTACTTTAAAAAATGGAACTAATGATTCATGTGGCTGAGATGTAAACAGTGTACCAAGTCGTTGAGCAAAGGTTTCAGGATCTATAGTACCATTCTATATATTAGAAAAGGTTATGTCCTACTTATCTTTTTTTTCTTTTATCAAGTTATTTCCATACCAAAAGGTCTTGAACGCAAGATCGAACTATCGGTAATTTTTCTGGTGCTTGTTTTTCAGTTAATCGAAGTAAAGTTAATAAAAACAATCGACATTTTGATGTAAAACTATCTATTTGAGATTGTGTAAATGTTGTGGTGTGTATTTGACAAGTATCTGATTGTTGATTAAGTTGAAATGGTATTACAGATGGCTGTTGTTGCATTCCACTCATTGTAACAGGTTCTTAATAAATCAAGGCACAAAAATGAAAATTGTGTTTTGGTAAAAAAAAAAAGTTTCCATCGAATAAAATGATCATCTTTCATTTGGAAAACACCTATACCATTTTAAAGAGCAAGTCATGCCGTATCAAATAGTATATAAGAAATTCTATTTTCATCAAGTTTTAACGTTGTAAGAAGTCATTTACCAGCTAAGAGATCTTTTAGTAATTGTTCGTAATATGACTGAATTTTATGACTCAGTATGTCCCTAAATTAGCCTATATAAAATTTTTGTATGGTCTTCACTCGTGCGTTATCTAATAATTTTATAATAGTTTTCTTTGTATCTAAAAGCTTAGCATTTTTACTAGCTTCTGTAGTTTTTGACTTTTCTGATGTTTTTGTTTCCTGAATACTACTTCGTAGAGCTTAGATTATTGCTTATGTGTCTCGATCAGAAATGCTTTGCTATCAAGCTCTACGATGAAACTAATTAATTGTCTACTGAATTTAAGTCCATCACAGTCAATTCGATTCCATCATTGCCTAAAGGAAGGCCAAATTTTCGATTCTGAAGGACAAAAGAGTATATCAGTTGATTTATAAATACCTTTTGAGTGAAAATTTTTTTTCTAGCAATAATAAGCTCATCATACTCCATTATTTAATATATATATATATATCGATTTTAAGACAACGATAAAAAAATTTGCGCTTTCGAACTCTTGGATGGAATACTTGCACATGTGAAATTTTTGAGTCTTATAAGCCAACAAACAGATAGTATGTGAATATGAGTGTGTAATGCTTAGCTATAGTGATAAACTATAACATGAGTTCGTGAAAAGAATGATCGATTCAACTTGAAGGGTGTAGGTGTGGATGAAGCGACTAGTACCCACACCCACCCTTGTTTTCGATCGAACTCATAAGTTTGTTAAAGGAATCGATTTTCCAATGATTGTACTCTGTGATTGAATCGGCTAGCTTTTTACAAAATCAGTCCAGTTCCATATGCTAAATTGGTCGATCCAGTTCGGTCGCAAAAATTGTATCGGTTTCAAGTATTATTGTATCAGCATAGGTCAGATTTGAAACTTAACGGAGAAACTCGCTACTATTAGTTGTGTTTTACAAATCTTACCTTGATCAATAATCGTTATGTCGTCTAGATAGATATGTCCACGCCGTAATAGTCCATTCATGCACAACGGCTTCTGCGTACCGTTACTCGCCTCGAAAATGTCAGCTGCTGCTCCTTGAAAAATTTGAACGATATGTTCATTGGGATTGGCAATATGTTTCAGCAAGTATTTGGCGAATAAACTATTTCGATCTGTTTCCAAACTATCGTTAGCTATTTGATTGGTAGCACAAGCAAACAGCAAAAATGTGCCCTCTGGTGAATCAATCACATGAAAACCACTTCTCGTATCACCTTAGAAACTTGCCATTTTAGTACTTAAATCCTGTAAGTTGAAACTAGAACTACCTTCTTTTTTCTGAATATTCCTTGGACAATACTGCAGACAATAATCCAAAACGAAGATGGTCGCATATGATGAATTTTTGTCTGCAAGTCGTTTAAGTAATCTCTCGACCCCAAGAGCATGAGTCTCCACATCGTCCTCCGTTTCTATCTCGTCATCATTCACAGGCATCAGATAATTTTCATCTTTAACTTGGTAGCCATGACCAGAAAAATAGAACATGACTAGATCACCGTCGACAATCGACTTTCCAAAGCTATTGACAGTGTCAATCATTTGTGTATGAGTCAGATCATAACCTGTTGTCACTTCGAAATTAATTGCGCTGAGTAACTTGCTAAGATCATTAGCATCATTGATGCAGTGACGAAGTTTGCTTTCTGGTTGACTATAGTTATTATTACCAATAATAAGTGCTCGTTTGCAACGAAAAGATAGACCTTCATTCGAAGTAGCCATTACTTTCTATAATCTAAGAAAGAATGAAGAAAATATCATGCTTCAACACTTGTAAACGCTTGTTTATGCGTGGAATCAAATTGATGGCAATTTCAGAGTGTCAGATAAACTTGATAAGAGACAAAAAGGATGTCGGCTGATTCAGCTAGAGTATGAGTATGATGTGGGTGCAGTTTAAAAAGAATGTTAGTGTCAACAGTCACATCTACACCCACACCATTTGAAATGACGGGAAAGATTTTTTAATTGTTGCTTTGTTTGATTTTCTGGATCACCGAGATCTCAAAAACCAAAAAGTGGTTGGCATGTATTTCTGGAAAAATTAAAATTTACATATCATTGATGATTTATTGGGGAAACTATTCCCCTCGTCCGAAGGGTCATGCATATTTCTGTCGATTAAAGAAATCCTAGATATCTGGAACGAAGTGTATTGAAAAGAAATTTGTCGACAGTTGAATAATTATTGGAAAATCAATTTTGAGAAAAATGGGAAAGATGTTTTTTTCTTGTATTATTACTTAAAATAAAAGCAATATATAAATATATTACATGTCCATTGAAACACCTATCGTTATAGATCAGACTGTCCTCGCATAACGCACATCACGGTAGATGCCACTATTTGCCGTTGAATAGCATAGTAAAAACAGAACAGTCATAAGTTATTTTTTCTAAAACTTATTTGTTGTTCTATAGTTTAAAAAAGAATCATAATGATTGAATGTTCGTTTTTATTAGTAATTAATAAGAAATATAGTATTTTATTTTTATTTACAACATGTATTGAATGGTATGGGTATTGGGAGTAGATGTGCGTAGCATGTGGATGAACAGAAGAATCACATCCACACCCTTGAACTATTGGGAATCTCAAAAATGTGCCTTTGAGATGTGAAAGATTTCATTATCTCCGAAAAATATTTGTTTATTTTTCAAATCTGACCGGACAAAAAAAAATCTTACTGATTACTCTTGATGTCATTATTTCTCCAGATAGTGTCAAAGATCATTCATAAAACTTCCAGAACCAAAATTATTTTTATGGATTCGTATACCAAGAATCTTAAGCGATATATTCATTTGTGTTTTGCAAAAATCATTCTTTTTCACATAACTTAACTTGTTTTTAGCTAGCAAACCTCTCTTAAAAAAATAAAACAAAACAACGTGATTTTCAAGGGGAACGAAGCAGAAAGCAATCGTTTCCGTAGAATTCTAGCTAGTACCTGAGGCTAGGGGAGGGAAGTTACCGTTACCGATGCGTTACGTTACCAGGTAACTAGTAACTTTTCCGTTACTAGTTACCTGGTAACTAGTAACTTTTGCGTTACTAGTTACTTGGTAACTAGTAACTTTTGCGTTACCAGTTACTTGGTAACTAGTAACTTTTGCGTTACTAGTTACTTGGTAACTAGTAACTTTTGCGTTACTAGTTACCGGGTAACGGTAACTCTGCGTTACTTGGTAACGGTAACGGGTAACTCCAACTCACTTCCATCATCACGCAAAGGTTGTCTTTCCCAAATTTTGAGATCCTATAGGGGTACCCTTGGGTTCTCAACTCCTATATTATGGGGGTACCCCTGGGCCCTCAAGTCCTATATTATGGGGGCACTCTTAGGTTCTCAAGTCCTATACTATGGGGGTACCCTTGGGTCCTCATGTCCTATATTATGGGGGTACCCTTAAGTCCTCAAGTCCTATACTATAGGGGTACCCTTAGGTCCTCAAGTCCTATGTTATGGGGGTACCCTTGGGTCCTTAAGTCCTATATTATAGAGGTACC